GTAAGCCAGTCACTTTGTGCTTTTATCACCCCCTCATTTTAGGTAGCCAATGTCTAAGTTGCCCATCCCTATCTATCCTGTGTACAGAGGGGATAGCATTGATACTTGATGTGAAGACTCCTTCCCTCTCTGTTGGTATTTAGAGTTACTGCCTCCATGAGTAAGGAGCTCTGGTAGCCTAATGGTTACAAATCGGGCTGCAAACCTTAAGGTCTGCAGTTTGAAACTACCAGCTGTTCCGTGGGAGAAAGATGAGGCTTTCTGCTCCCATAAAGATTTGAAAACCCTGTACAGGGTCACTATGAATCGGAACTGACTCCAGAACACATAACCACCACCTTCATGAGTATAGGTCAGGTTCATCGAATTGTAGTAATTTAACCTTGTTTCCTTTATCCAAAAAAAAATTATTATTATTTTTTGTGTAATCTTCCTCTAGTTGAGTTCTGATCATCAAGCCATTGAGGCTAGGTCAAATGGGTACTGTCTGCAAGTTTGGGTGTTCTTGTGCATTTCCTCTCCCTTCATATCACTTGAATGCTTCACTCTCAGTTCTAGCCCTCTGTAGCTATGTCCTTGTCCATGGGCTCAAGAGTCCCCAGGTCTCACAACACTTTGGACCAACCAGCCCTTCCTCTTCTCTCTCTTGTCTCCAGGTCACGGGAGTCAATGGATTGTGGTTGAACTCAGCCCATTTCTCCATTGCTGCCTTTCCTCCCCCTGTTCCACTCACCAGTAGACCAATGTGGTCGCCAGCAAGCTTACATGCCTACTCGTGTGTTCCCTTTGAGTTTCAGTCTTAGAGGGGAGTTTGTCCTGAAGGAACTTGATTGCTTGCCTTGATGGCTTCCTGGTGAACAGCTTGCTTATTCTTGTAGTAGCCAGTCATTCTAACATTTTTGTTTTGGGTTTTCCCTGATGATCTTTTTTTGAAGATGTATCTTCTGTTGCTCTAGCTGTTCCAGGCTCGTCTGCTTGTTCTTGCTAGTGGGAATGTCCCACCTCATAAGGTTCTGGATGGGACTCAGGATTCCACCTAAGGTCCTATACTCTGCAAAGGCTTTGCAAGAGGCCTATTTCACTGGGCAAATTCTGAACCCCTTTTAGGTATTCTCAAAGTTATAGACTGAAGGCAGGCTTACAAGTTTTCTGTAATCATGTTTCCCAACATTCCTTTCTGTCCCACTCAAGTGTCTATTTTACAATAGTAGGCAAGGAAAACCAATATTCAATATTCAGAAAACAGTGAAACATTTTAGCATTATTTTCTCTTTTCAAACTATGCCCAGATCCCTGTATCACAGAGCTCTGTTGTTTCAAGGTTGAACATGCATCATTACTTACCTCTGCCCCACTTAGGACATGCAAACCTGTCTCAGTGTTCCCCTATCTATCTTGTTCTTCTGTCTCCTCCCTCTTCTTATATTGCCCTCCCTAACACCCAAACTAAACCTCCTACCCCAACCCCACTGTTGTGGTTACCTTATGTTCCATTCATTCTTCCCTCCATTTAAGACAGTCTATTTTATCCAGTAATCTACCTGACCTTCCCACCACCTGGATCTCTGTTCCTCTGTGTTTACCTTCTTTCGTATTGTAATTGTTTTGATCATAGACTGACCTTCCAGATCCTCTGTTCTTACCATTTTATTCTGTTCTTAGCTCTTCAATTTGTTGAATGAGTTCAGAGTGTTGCTCCCACGTACGTCATTCTCTGGTTGTTGTCTGTTCTTGTTGGTTCTCAGTCCACAGAACTTCCTTTAGGATGTTTTTCATAGCAGAGTTGGCTTTGGCAAAATCCATTAGCTTCTGTTTATTCTGGAATGTTTTGATTACACCTTCGTATTTCATTGACAGATTTGCTGGGTAGAGGATTCTTGGTCGGCAGTTTTTTTCTTTCTTGGTTTTATATATGGCTCCCCATTGCCTTCTTGCCTGCATGGTTTCTGTTGAGAGTTCCGAGTTTAATCTGATTTGCTTGCCTTTGTATGTTACACTTCTCTTTTCCCTAGCTACTTTCAGAATTCTGTCCTTAACTTTGATTTTGGAGAGCTTGATTATTATATGTCTTGGTGATTGTCTTTTAGGGTCTATCCTTTCTTGGGTTCATTGAGCTTCTTGAATGCTTATCTTTTCACTTTTCAGGATGTTAGGAAAATTTCTTCCAGCAGCACTTCAACTATCTCTTCTGTGGACTTGCGTGATTCTTCCTGTTTCAGAATGCCGATAATTCTTAAGTTAATCCTCTTCTTGTTGTCCAACATGAATCTTAGGCCTTCTTCAGATTTTCTTATCATTTTTTTGTGCTTGCTCTTCTATCTTAGTAGTGTTGAGAGATTTATTTTTTAGCTCACTAGTTCTGGCTTCATCTCTTCGATTCTACTCCTTTGCCCTTTCAATATATTGTCCATTTCTGATATTCTATTATTAATCATTTGGACCTCTTTCTGTAGGTTTTGAATTGGTTCCAATGCTGTATCCATCTTATTTCATTGTTCCTGTAGTGCTTTCCTGACTTCTTCCTTATATTTCTCAACTCCATTATATAATGTTTTGATACATTTCATAATCATTTTTCTGAATTCCTTTCCAGGCATTTCCAAAGCCTGCCCATCTTCCAGTATGGAGTCTAGGTCTCTACTTCCAACTCATTTGCCTCAGTCACTTTATCTCATTTCTGGACATGTGCTGATATGGTTGTCTGTTTCTGGTGTTATCTGTGGCCTTAGTACTTAGGTGGGTGTGTATTTTGGTATTTTTTTATGCTTTCTGACTGCCTCCAGGTAGATGTGATCAGGAGATGGGCTTCCCTTTTCACTTTTCTTCTTGAAAAATTCAAGATGCCACTGTTGGTCGTTGTGACATAAATCAGGATTTAATTTTTGGCCTATTTCCTTTTTAGTCTGCCTGTCCCACTCCACAATCCACGTTCAGGTATTTTTCCCAGTGGTAAACATTTCAGGGCCAGCTGTGGCTGTTTTGCACTGCTATTTGGTTTTAAGTGGAAAATATCACTTTAAATTTTGAGGAGATCTCTGCGCATGTGTAGTAGAACCCTCTGGAGGTTTTGGGTGGGGTGTCCACTCCCTCAGGCACCCCCCTCTAGTCACCAGAATGGTGGTGCGCAGACAGCGAGAGACCAGTGAGCAGATACAAAAAAAAAAAAAAAAAGGAATGTCCACACTTTTATCTCCACAGTTCTGTCAGGCATCTGTGGCTGCTCTGATCCTTCCTCTGCATCTCTCCCAAGATGGTGGCTCTGGGAGCAGCTGAGTGTCTTGAATCAAAAAGCAATGGATTTCTTGCATCTGCTACAAATTCCCCTAGCTGAAAGCCTTCCAACCTTCTAAATATTCCTTTATATGTGGTTCAGAGTTCTGGCACCATCCCCTGAGCCTGCTTGGTCCGGTATTCTGTGTTGTTGCTGATGGAGCTCCTCACTGCACTTCTACCCTATCTGCCATCTTGTTTGTTCCCTCTAGGTATTTATTTTTTAACACTATTAAATGTTTTCTAACTTCAGCATTTGAATACTTAATATTATCAATAGTTTGTACATTGATCATTATCAAATGTCTTTGGATTTGTATTTAATCACTTTTGACTTGTAATCCATATAGAACTATTGAGAAAATAGCAAAGCCTTCATTCAAGAAATGCGGGCTCATGAACCATTAACTGCTCAGAACTTGTTTTCAGGCAGTTCTTTAACATGTCACCATGCAATGGTGATTATCCATATGATACAGTCTAAAGAATAGCAAGGAAACCATGCATTAAAAGGTCACTGCACCTCTAAGTCTATCTTCCCATCAGTATGAGAACAGCTATATGGGGTGAGTGTATACTCCACATTGTCAAATGTGTGATTTTAAAATGTGAAAAGCTGTAATTGCTAAAGGCCACACCATGGTGGGAAGACAAAATCTCCCTACTACTGCCCTTCAGAGAAGCCACTATTCATAATCATAAAGTGGTTAATTGTCTTCATGAACAACAGCAATGAGACCAGAAGAACTGGATGGTGCCCTGCTACCATTACTGAACATTTTCATTAAATATTACATAGAATAATCTGATCAAAAGGGCGAAGATATAGAACATAATTTCAAATTCTCATCAACTCTAGACTTCCTTGAGCCACAAAATTTGAATGAGCCCTTGATGCTATCATCCTGAGATCATCTTTAAGCTGTAAACCAAAAATATCTCTTAAAGTCTTCTTAAAACCAAACAACGAACCCAAAAGCCAAACCCATGGCCATCCAATTCATGGTGATTCTATAGGACTGGGTAGAACTGCCCCATTTAGTTTCTAAGGCTGTAAATCTTTATGGACGCACATTGCCATACTTGTCTCCTCAGAGTGATTGGTGGATTCAAACTGCTGACTTCTGGGTTGGCAGCATTGCACTTTAGCCACTGTGTCACTAGAGTTTCTTAAACAAAACACTAGTTTAGTAAAAGATGTCTGCCTTGAGCCGAATGTCCTTTTTTTTTTTTTAGTTTAAGGTTTTTATTGTGGATTGAGTGAAAGTTTACAGGGCACATCATCAGTTTTACATTCAACAAATCATATACCTTGTTTCATTACATTGATT